CTGGGCGTTAAGAAAGGTCGGCTTTTGTGAAGTGTCGCATACTAAAGTCGTCAGGTTACAGAATTCGCTCCACGTAATACTCACCAAGGCAATATCATCTGCGTATTGCACGTCAGCAAGGTATGTAACTGGATATTTTGACATGATTCTTTCCTCTACAATGAGCCCTACTTCTTTGCCAGGGTCAGCAATGTTTCAGAAAAGGTCAAGAATTGTGTTGAAGCACATCTCCATGGTGAACTCCATACTTAGTAGGGAGCCATTCATATAGGTCTCCTTCAACTTTGGCAGCACACATGGTTGCCTCATTCATCCCTTCCAAAGTACAAACGATATGCTGTGGTACCCGATATCATTTTTGTAGTTTCCGCATCGTTAAGCTATATAGTAAGCCATGTACTGCCTTAAAGTCGATGAAACTCGATTGAAGACTGATGGTTTATCAGTAAAGCACAGTCGCCATCAAGCATTTAGAAATTCGTTACGCATTTATTTTTCCTGCGAAGGACGGTATAACATGTAAGAGCATTAAGCGCTCTTTACAGTCGGCAGACTAACTGAAAACTTTCGTAAGGTGATGGATGACATTCGCGCATTGATTGAACGTTATCGTACCGGGTCTGGATAGCCAAAGGCATTAAGCCTGGTTGATTCCTACCAGATCTACTGGTTCCGACATGCGCTTACCTTCAATTACTAGATTTTCTGCATGCAATTACACATAGCGTTTAATTTCGAACGTAAGTTTGAAATGAGAACTTATGACCTAGACGTAAAAATTTAAACATATATGCTAATTGTATTTGGTTTACCTCAAAATTTCCTGGTAAGGCGATTTGTTTCAAAAATTGTATGTATGTTCATAGAATTTTTCCACTCATGTGTTATTGTTTCGTCATGTGTTATTTGTTGGCTTGCTGAAGTCACTTGTTTGTCGCTACCAGTTTTGTGCAGTTTTTTACGAAGTACTTCCAGTCCGCACTTTGAAAGTTGAACTGGAGATTCTCGAAGCGCAGGTGATACTGTATCTTCAGTGTTAAATTGCAGTAGGTCCCATAAATATACGCTATCAATATTTAACTTGTTGGACTTGTTTAGGGCGAATAAACCCTGTGACACCTGCGTCGAACCATATGGCTTTAAGAACCACATGAGCCTGACAAAAGACACTCGGCGATTTGCCGTAGGCGTGATATTTATATAATTTGACTCTGCTTTGAACTGAATTCTTTAGAAAGAGGTGAATGAATCTGCTGTATCAGGAAACCTCGATGCGCCAGAAGGCGGTTTTGACGCGATCATCCAGTCCCTGGTTTGTCGAGTAATTTGTTTTTTCTTGTTGTTGAAATTCGTTACACGATTCACTGTTGATTTCTTTTCTCAGAAAGAAGTGGGATGGCGTCAGAATGCTCGTAAAATGATGGTGTTCTCGACGGATGCCGGATTTCATTACGCTGGAGACGGAAGGGTAAACCTTTGATTTTGCAGTTATAACCAGACAACTTTCCTGTGTGTGTGTGTGTGCGTGTCTGTGTGATGGTCGTAATTTCGGTTCTTCATCTAGTCTGCAAGATTTAAACTTATGATGGTTGCAAAACAACAACGGAATTATATGAATTTTAGGCATGTTTTACGCCTCCATGAATAAAGTACTTATAAACAGTTGGTTACAGGCTGTTTCTGTGTGCTCTGTGTTATTTTCAGTTATTCAATGATGACCTGAGAATAGAATATCCTAACATATGATTAGGAGCGTGCTTTCTGTGAACCAGTGCAGTATGTTTTGATTAATGTTAAGTGCATAATATCTAACAGTGATAAATGTCACCTTATGTTTCGAGAGGTCTACATGTTTTTGCAGTGTAATTGTCTCCGGTTATTCACACCCATTCAATACTTATTCTGCTGTAAGATCATCCATTCAATAGCGGGCACGAAGAAAGATGGACTGCTCTGAAGCAGACGTTTCAGACAGCTATGTTATCTATTTTCTGGGCGGACTGCAAGAGAAAACTGGAAAGTTAGGTTATTGAAAAGGAGTTAAATGAATTATAATTCTGCCTTCTGATTTCGTAGCGTGGAGCATGCGTACGCAGTCCTCATTCATATTGCTTTATTCTTCTTGATCTAGGCTGGAATATTATTGATCTTCGGTTCCTGATCCATGGTTCAAGGCAGCAACTGAAAATATAATTTCCTTTACTCACCGGCGCGTTTTGACGCCGCACACCAGCATCATGTTCAAGGTTTATTGCTTAAATGTTCCCATCGCCATCTGAGGTATGAGGGTCAAAGACTGTTTTCGTATCCAGATTATTGTTGTCTGCTGATCAGATATTACACAGCAGAATATCTCGAATAATATGTAAAATTTTGAATGACAATAAGATTTTCGAATGAGCTGACTGATGACATGCCACCTGTCATTCACACTAAACGAGCTCTTACATTCATTGCACATTTGGCGTTTGTTAGCTTACAAGTATAGCGAATACTAGTCTGATGTTTGTTCACTCCTTATCAACGGGAATGACGTTTGTCGGACTGAAAGACTCTTCCAAGTAAAAGGCATGGGAAATTATGTCAGTTCTTTATTTTCTCATTTACTAAATATTCCGCCATGCGTTGCTCAGTCTTCTTACGGTTTTCTTTATGTGGATTTTGTCAGTCATTTCATTCAATCTTATGAACTACATTTTTCTCTTTCCTTCTTACTAATTAAGCTTTCTGTTGATCTGCGATCCCAACGAATCGCCCATTTTATAATATATTTGAGAACCTTCATGCCAGAAATTTCTTGTAATAATTTTCTCACTGTAGCTACTTAGAGAAAGAAATTTTGTCGATGTTCCGTTTCTGATTGGTAGGCAGAGTGAATGGTACAGACTTTAAAAGACCTAAGTATTATTTTCAACAGTGTGAGTATCTGC